TGATAATAAGTAATGCAACAGCAAATAAGAAGGATTTCCACCAAGGTAAGGAAGATTACCAAAAACTCTCACTACACATCAGTATTACTCTGATGGCCCTAGATAATGTAATATGATAAGGACCCAAAAGAAAAGAAAAAGTAGATTAGAAAGAAGGCATGAGACTGTCACTATTTCCTGATGATAGGTTTATCCACAAAGAAGAGCTATCAAAATAAACCAGAGAATTAGTAAGAGTTCATTAAGGTGTTCAAAGGTAAGATCAATATAAGAAAGCAGGTGGTTTATTGCATAAGAGCAGACAATATAAAAATACATAGTGGGACCAGCAGTTAGTATAATGGCTATGTTGCTGGACTCCCACATAGTCGACCGCGGTTCATGTCCCCGACTCGGTGGCGTAAACTCACGCTGGGCGCATGTGCGTGCATGCTCAAGATCCTAAGAGGAGAATGGAGGAGAAGGGATGACCATACCCCCTGCCACCTGGGGGGTGATTTCTCGCTTTCTGTCTCTGTCTCTCTCTATCTGGCGAGCGCATGCGCCCTATAGCAAAAACCTCTAAAAAAAAAAAAAAGGAATAGTTAACTACCCGCCGAATTAAAAAAGCTGTATAGTGCCAGTCCATGGTCTAGTGGTTGGGGCACCTGGAACCCACATGGCCAACCATGCAATTTGAGCCCTAGACTCAGCAGCTTGAAAAACATGCTGGGAATATGTGTACATACCCAAAATCTCGAAAGAAGGGAGAGATGGAGAAGATGGGATTGCATCTGACCATGCCCCATGGGGAGTGCTTTCTCGCTTTCCTTCTCTCTGTCTCGCTCTTCAGTGCACATGCTCTCTAGCAAATATTTCTTAAAAAGTCATATAATATCCAGAAATAGCCATGACAAGAAATTTGCAAAACTTACATGACTACAATGTTCAAACATAACTGAGTAATACAAAAGAAGATCTCAATAAATGGAGAAACATAAGACATTCCCAAACAGGAGGACTTGTTATTTTGAAGTTTGTCTCTCTTTTAATTAATCTAAAATTCAATGCTATTTCAACACAAATTTCAACACATTTTCAAAAAAGACAAATGGTGAAAGGGCACATGAATAATCAAGAAATTTTTGGATCAAAAAAGAAGCGATGAATACATAAGACAATGGAATATTATTCAGTGCTAAAAGGAAATGCCATGAAAAGGCTTGGAAGAATCTTAAATGTATAATACTAGGGAAAAGAAGTCATTATGAAAAGGCCACATACTATATGATCCCAATTTTATGACATTCCAGAAAAGGCAAGACTATGGAAACAATAAAAAGAACAGTAGTGGGACCAGCAGGTGGCATGATGGTTAAGACGCTGGACTCCCATATGGCCAACCGCAGTTCGAGTCCTGGACCTGGTGATTTGCTTCCTTACTTTCTCTGAGTGTGTGTGTGTGTGTGTGTGTGTGTGTGTGTGTCTCATGAACACATGCCTTATAGCAATTTAAAAACAACAACAATAATAAATAGAATTAAACAAATAATTCTTTAAAATATTTTTTTAATTACAAAAAATTTTTTTAAAAGATCAATGGTTGCCAAGAAATGGGGGTAGAGAGAAGATGAATAGGTGGAACACAAAAGGTTTTTAGAGCAGTAAAACTATTCTGTATGATACTAATGATGAGAACCTTGTCATTATACATTTGTCCAAACTCACAAAATGTGTAGCACTAAGGTGAACCTTAAGGTAAACTATGAACTTGGGTAAGCATGGCTTGTCAATGTAAGTACATCAGTTGTAAGGTAAGTACCACTCTGGTGGGGGATGCACATGTGGGGGCAGGGGACATCTGGGAAATCTCTGTACCTTCCTCTTAATGTTACTATAAAGTCAAAAAGCACTCTAAAAAGTTTTAGGAAAAAAAAAAACAACACTGCAGGATATCCACCTGATACCTACCCTATATCAAAAAGAAAGTTAATAATGGGGAACCAGCAGTTAGCGTAATGGCTATGTCGCTGGACTCCCACGTAGTCAACCGCGGTTCGTGTCCCGGACCCAGTGGCTTAAAACTCACACCAGGCGTGTGTGCGTGCGTGCCCAAGATCCCGAGAGGAGAATGGAGGAGAAGGGATTGTGGCGTGACCATCCCCCCTGGGGGGTGATTTCTCGCTTTCTGTCGCTATGTCTCTCTCTGTCTGTCTGGTGAGCGCACGCGCCCTATAGCGAAAATCTCTCCAAAAAAAAAATAAAATAAAGTTAATAATGGAAAAGGAATATTAAAATACATCATTCAAAATCATACCTTTGAATATATTGGAAATATCTTTATGATAGGTAATTTTTTGAAAAACTGCTAACCAATTGCAGAAGAAAGTTATATTGCTATTATTGTGATACATACATAAAAATTCCAAAGTTGTTTAAGGTTAGACTAAAACAAATATTAGATACCACATGAAATTGCCATTTCTGTGGGTCAAAGTAGTTTGATAATTCAAGCTAATACATTAATTATAAGGAAAAAACTCAGGAAGCACTTTCAATATCTTTTTTTTTTTTTTTTTGGAGAGATTTTCGCTATAGGGCGCGTGCGCTCACCAGACAGACAGAGAGAGACATAGCGACAGAAAGCGAGAAATCACCCCCCAGGGGGGATGGTCACGCCACAATCCCTTCTCCTCCATTCTCCTCTCGGGATCTTGGGCATGCACGCACACGTGCCCAGCGTGAGTTTAAGCCACCGGGTCCAGGACTCAAACCGCGGTCGACCATGTGGGAGCCCAGCGACATAGCCATTACACTAACTGCTGGTCCCAGCTTTTAATATCTTAGTGTGAAGAAAACTGACATAAAAATAAAGACAAGCCCTAGAATATGTTAATATTTAAAGAAATAAATATCTTTATTTAATTCAAAACTTAAAAGATGTACATGTGCAAAAGTTGTCAGTAAATACAAAAAGTACCTGTCACAAAGTTAACACTAAAAAATGGTGAAAACCTGGGGCCGGCAGGTATCATGGTGGTTGAGGCGCTGGACTCTCATATGGCTGACCATGGGTCAAATCCTAGACCTGGCAGCTTGCTTTCTCACTTTCCCTTTCTCTCTCTCTGTCTCTGGTCAAATTCATAATAATGATAATAATAACAGTAACAAATGGAATGAAATAAACAATTTTTTTAAATAGGCGAAAAACCAAGAACCAATTTGGAGGGGAAAATGGAAACATTTGTTAAAAGGACAATGGATTAATATATGTATTATAGAAGAATTCCTACAGTCTGTAAGGACAGGACAAAAATACAACATTGGTGGGCAAAGTAAGCACATGAGAAGTTCTCAGGGGAAATGCAAGCGGACAATCGCCACTTCAAAAGATGTTCTCCTTCACTAATAAGGGACACACAAATCAAAATGACCATTTTGCAAAACTTTAAGGGATTGTGTACATCAAGGTCAGGGACTACATGAGGAAGTAGACATTCTCATACTCACTTCATTGGCGAGTGAATGTTTTTTAGAGGATAATTTGTCCATTTCATCAAAAGCTAAAATTTGCATCTCTTTCAACCCAAAAATTACGCTTTCTAAGACTCTATCATACTGTAGAGAAATGCCTGTAGTATATGCACATTCATTGTCACTCTGTCTGCGATAACCAAAGCATAGAAAATAACAGATTCAAAAAAAGGTAATTAAGTAAATCATATTAGGGGCCAGCAGGTAGTCTAGTGGTTATGGCGCTGGACTCCCACATGGCCAACTGCAGCCGAGTCCCGGACCTGGTGGCTTGCAAATCATGTCGGGCATGTGTGCATGTGTGCCCAAGATCCCAGGAGGAGAAGGAAGGAGAAAGGATCGTGATGTGGCCATCCCCAGCCCCCACGGTGGGTGAGTTCTCACTTTCCCTCTCACTATATCTCTCTGTCTCTCTCCAGACAAACATACATACCCTATGGGAAACATCTATTTAAAAAATAATCATAGTATTTCTAAGCTAAATAAAATTACTCAGCCATTGTTTAAAAAAAAAATACAGATTAATATGTATTGATATGAAAAGTCCTTCAGGTCAAAGTTAAGAAAGCAGAAGTATAAAGTAATATATGTATATAATAATCCCATGCATGTAAGAAATACCCTCTAACCTATATGTCAATAGTTTACAAATCAGCTGTTGGGAGTATGGGGGTAAAGGAAAGAAAAAATATTCCACATATTTGTACTTTCAAAAATAATTTACAATAAGAACACAACATACATTATTTATGTCTCATAAAAATACAATTAATTTCAAATCAATTTGCCCAGAAGTCAGTTCCACCTTTGAGCATGAGATAAATTTCAGACATTTCCCAGGTTATGCTGCTTTTTAATCAGTTAGTACAACCCATATGGATTCATATAACTGCAACTTTTTTCCTGCTGTAAACTCAGACTTCGTAAATTCCTATTTCCCCCAAGGACCATAAAATAACACATAAAACATCATATTATCAACAGAAAGAAAACTGGCACAATGCTAGTCTGATCTCGATTCTTCAACCAATAGTTTCTTTTAGTAAAGCCCTGCTTTGACTATGAAGGAAAGCAAGCTGATCTGAGATCTGACTCTGAAACATGAAAAGAGAGGGAGCGTGTTTCGATCATCCAATTTGCCTTCTCATAATCTTCTCTCATTATTGAGCAATCTGGAGGAATATACCGCCGCTGCTTGCCTCCCTCCTAACTGGGGGTTGCTGGAGGTAGTGTCTTTATGACAACTTTATACTGTCGTTTTAAACAAGGGAATGAGCCCTCTGGTTTCCCCTTTGTACCGGCTTGCTTTTCTCCCTGCCCGTCTGTCTCTATGTTCCTCCTTCCCACTCGCCCTTCTCATCCTTACCGCAAACCTCTTGCACCAGGTTTACCCTTGGCCTCTGTCCCCAGTTGCCAGCAGTGAGCAGCAAGCCAGCAGCCCACGTACTCCTCCAGGTGGAGAAGACAGCCCGGGGCTGGGCACGTACCTGCATTCTTAGCTGTGACCTTGGAGCTGTGTCTCAGCAGACGGACAAACACATTACTGCTGCAGTGGTTCACCATGTGCAGGTGGAGGCTTCGTCGAGTCTGGATCTTGACTAAGCATTTGGCCATACTGCATATCCTGCTCTCCCTCGGTCTCCTCTGCCTGTCACGGCCCAGGGCAGCCACCATCAGCCATAGCGGCTCTGACCTTTCACTAACTGTCCATTCTGTTTTAAAGGACCAAGGCAGGGCCCTCTGAATGAATCAAATGTCAGGTTCCTAATGCAGCCAACAGAAATAACTCATGAGGGATCAGCCTCGGGTGGAGCGGAGGGAGACTATGCTATTTTTAAACTCTCCACTCCTTTAACAAGCAATGAAATATTATGCATCCTCCCTGCTTCAGCCCTTTCTAAGCCATACAGACCAGAAGACCCCTCCCCAGTTCCGTTTGTTGTACAGTGTCCTAAGACTCAAATGCCCCCAGAGAACTAGATGACAACAGGGTAACTTCACAATGGAAAAAAAAAACAAAAAACTTTAATTTCTTTCAAAAAGTATTAGCCCAGATTTTACTAGGTCTCAAATCAGAACTATCCGATAAAAACATAATGCAAGCCACTTTTTTAAAGGAGAAAAAGTTCTCAAAATTTTAAAAAAAATACAATTAATTTTAAAGTTTTATTTGAAGCTGAGAGATCCAAAATACTACCTCAACCTGTAATAGTATAAAATATATTAACAAAATAGTTTAGATTCTTTTGAGAACCACCCCCTTGAGGTCATGCGTGTGACACGTGCACAGCATGTCTCAGTTCTGACCAGCCATGTTTCGGGCGTTCAGCCCTGTGAGGCTTCCACATGAGAGGATCCAGTTGTTTTTAATTTATTTATTATCATCATAATCTTGTTTATATTACATTGAATCACATATAACTTTACAGTGTATTACATTTCTTTTTCCAGAAGAAATACCATGCTAGCAGTCAATACAGAGACATTAAAATCTCCATTTCATCATCCAATATCTTTTCATTGTTTTTCAGGATCATTATTATTATTATTCCAATTTTTTTTAAACAGTCAATCACTAGTTCTCATTTTACTTGTAAAAAGACTTTACCCAACATGAAATACTTCTCAGACCAATCCAGTTGAGAATACTATACATGTCATCATCAACAGGTAATAAACCATATCTGTGTCCCACTAATGTCCTGCCTCTCTATTTGTTCTCTTGCTATCCTTCCCTATACTCTTCTCTTCTCCCCCACCCCATTCCACACTGTCTTATCCTCGTTAACTATTTTCACTGCTTTTACGCCCTTCAATATTTTGCTCTCTACCATAGAGTGTGGATAGTCGGTATATATTAAGTGGATACCTACAATGTCTTTCTTTCATATCCTGGCTTGCTTCATTCACAATAGATCCTCCATATCCGATCACTTTCTATCAAATGCCAGGGTCCTGTTGTTTTTTATGGCTGAGTGAGACAGTCTAGTTCTAAACAAAGTGTTTATTGCTTACATGCAATATTCCCAGTGTCAAAACAACACTAGTCTAGCCTTCACCTCATAGATAAAGAACGACAGCCTACTGCAAGTGACTGACCTGACCAAGTTCACAGTAAGTGATGAAGCCAATTAAAATTCACTGGGGGGAAAAACACAGGATGAGAGTTGTTAATGTTTTAAAAGCAGGAGCCAAACATGGCGTCCTAACTCTTAGTGCTCTGCGAGTCCTGCCCACAACTTGTACCTCTAAGGCATACAATATGCTTATGTTCAGTATACACATTCAGGAAACATTTTCCATTTTTTTAGGACACACTATATTTGAAAAAATTTTTGAATGATTAGTAACTGTGCCCCACATATTATCTTACATTTTAAATCTTACAGTAAAATCTTATGATAAAATCTTACAGTTTTATTTCTTTGCTGGTACATTTTTCTCATCCTGATTTGCAGAAGAGAAAAAAAATTCCCCATTTAATTCTGTCAGGCATGTAACTGTTTTTTCTACTTTAAAGTAGTTACTGCCACCAAAAGATGATTTTCTAATTAAAAGAAATTCTTTTTTTTTTTGCCCAATGAAATGAAGGGTTATAGTCTGATCAGTCAACTGAAATTCTGCATTGTTTTGCTTCACTATGGGAATACAACCTGAGTTAGCTTAGCAAAATAAATAGAGTTTTTCAAATGTGCTATTCTTTGACCCAGAAATTCCACTTTTAGGAATTTATCCTGAGAGCATAATTAGAAATGCTGACAAAAACTTTTGAATAAAGATGTCCATTCGAGTATCATTATTATAGCAAAAAAAAAGAAAAAAAAGTAAATTTCCAGTGGAAAAATGGTTAAAAATGTGATGAGGATATTGCAAAGACATTAAAATTCATGTTTAGTGAAGTTATGTGATGTTAAAAAAATACTTGCAATATATAGTTAAATGGAGAAAAAAAAAAAGAGCACGTTCATATAAACAGTGTGACCTCACCTATGTAAAAGTGCAGACAGGGGAAAAAGAAAAGAAGGCTGAACAGTTAATCTGAAAGAGAAAAGGACACGGCACTATGACCTGAAGTTCAAGTTGGTCACCTGGAGCCCTCACAGGGGCTCTCTCTCCCCTCTCACTGGTTATCAGTCCCACGTATGCGACGACACAGACGACACAGACTACTCTCACAAAGATTAACGAATGTCCAGATTCAAAATTGACACTTCAAAGTTTCACATTTGAAACCTTGAAATCTGAAACTGTTAATCCAAAAACTCACAAAATCTTCATCCCTTTGCAATTCCCCTTAGAATCTGATCCTGTTTTGTTTTGTTTTGTTTTGTTTTGTTTGGAGAGGTTTTTGCTATAGGGCGCTTGCACTCTCCAGAAAGACAAAGAGAGACAGAGAGACAGAAAGTGAGAAATCACCCCCCAGGGGGAACGGCCACGCCACAATCCCTTCTCCTCCATTCTCCTCTCAGGATTTTGGGCAGAAAGAGTTTAAGCCACTGGGTCCAAGACTTGAACTGCGATCGACTACATGGGAGTCCAGCGACATAGCCATTACACTAACTGCTGGTCCCAGAATCTGATCCTGAGCAGATTCTCCATGTATAAAAGAGAAGACTGACAAGAGGTGGGATCCTGGAATGGTAACTACTAAGGCATCTCTCATTAGTCATGGTTCCTGAAGACATACTGAAAATCTTTAAGATGCTGAAAATCAATGTTCAGGTTGAACTGCTGCTTTATAGTAACACAGATGAAGAATTTCAACAATCAATGAGGAGTGTGGAGAAGGATAGCAAGAGAACAGATAGAGAGGCATGACATTAGTGGGATACAGAAATGGTTTATTACCTGTTGAGGATATCATGTATAACATTCTCAACTGGACTGGTCTAGGAAGTATTTCATGTTGGGTAAAGTATTTTTACAAGCATAATGATAAATAGTGAATGACTGTTTAAAAAAATAATGAGAATAATAATGATCTGGAAAAAAATGATAAAAACGTATTTGATGATGATGAGGTAAATAATGTTTTTGTCTTGACTGATATGCATGATATTCCTCTGGAAAAAGAAATGCAATCCACTGTGGGGTTATATGTGAGTCAATGTAATATAAACAAGATTATGATCATAATAAACAAAAAAGAAAAACAAAATAACCAATGAGGGCTCACTTACAAAGCATCAGGCCAGGGCTCAGTACTGAAGCAATCTCCCTTTAGCCTGTTTGGAGGGGATATAGATAAATCTTTAAGCTTATCATCATGTTAAAACAACATGTAATCTGACAGCTCACTCAGAACAAACAGACCTTCCGAGAACAAAGCAGAAAGCAAGTAAAAATCCTCAAACGGGGGGGCCGGAGAGGTGCAGGGGTAACACGCCACTCCCCAGCGGGTAATGGGGATTTGGTTCCAGGGTCGACTGATACACCCCGGGCACATGTACACATGCCTGTGATCTCGGCTGGCTGGAAAAGGCTGGGGGAGGAGCACAGCTTGGGATTCTGCTGAGAGTGCCCGTGTTTTCCCTCTCCCTCTCTGCCTTTCACTCTCATGAGACAAATAAATAAACTTTAGAGGAAAAGAGAAACCTAAAACAAACCTATGACCACACCTCATTTCTATTCCCACCAGGATAGTTACTCTTCATTAATTCTCAAACTTAAAATCTCATCATAGTAAAAACAGGAACAAAAACTCATCACAGTTCCAAATGCCTCCTTCCTTCAACATGTTTATATTACAGCCACTCCTCACTTAAATGACCTTCCTGTTTAATGGCCAATCACTCATACTTACGACAAGTTCTTCAGTGAGGGGAATATCCTTTCTCAATTTTTGTTTCATTCCCACAGTGGGACAGTATTCACTACACGAAGCATAAGACCACAAACTTCATCTATAAATCTCTATTTTATTGGGCACTCATAGTAGTCAGAATAAATGAAAACAATGATGCTGAATTTATGCTATTGTGTTGTAGTATGTCTTGTTGCTTTCTGGTGCTTATCTGATGTATGTTTTTTATACAAACAGAATTACATTATCCTAGGGGCCAGCAGATGGTGTAATGGTTATGTTGTTGGACTCCCACATGGTCAACTGTGGCTTGAGTCCAGGACCTGGAAACTTGAAAATCATGCTGGACATGTGTGCATGTGCGCCCAAGATCCCATGAGGAGAATGAAGAACGGATTGTGGCATGGTCATACCCTGGGGGGCAATTTCTCAATTTCCCTCTCATTGTCTGTCTCTCTCCCTCTAGTGAGCATACATGCCCTAAGGCAAAAACTTCTTTTTTTAAAAAAAGAATTACATTATACTAGTGTGGTATCTGTGATATCTGTTGAGAAATATTAATATATACCTTATGGTGCCACAACATATCACAAGACATTCACCTCTAAATACCTCATTTATTTATGGTGGTCTTAACTGGGCTAGACTGAGGTGTATATCATGCTGGGTAAAATCTCTTAACATTCTAAATGATGTGTAGCAATTTAATGTATGAATAATAATAAAAAATATATAAATGAAAAAATGCCTCATTTATTGACCAACTCACTTAACAACGTATTCATAGGAACAGAACTTGGTCATTAAGTGAGGAGTGTTTATATTTTTTTTTAAATTTTGCATGAAGGAGCATGTGCT